AGAGAAAGACAAATACCATATGATTTCACTCATATGTGAAATTTAAGAAAAAAACGAAAGAAAAGGAAACCAAAAGAGAAAATATAACATACAGAGAACAAACAGATTGGGGATGGGGGAGAGTGATGGGTGAAACAGGTGAAGGGGATTAAGAGTACATTTATCTTGATAGCATGGAATTGTTGAATGCCTATATTGTACACCTGAAACTTTTTGGTTGAAGATTAATATATAAATTGATGTTTTCACCAAAGATCAAACAAACTAGCTTTCTCTAAAGTACTCAATTTATTAAACTATTCCCTGGGTTTATTACACAGTGGTAAATAATAAACCACACCATTTAAGGGTTAACCAAAAAGAAAAAAAACAAAAGCTTAATTTCAGCTACTATATTTTTTACTTAAGAAATACATGAAATTTAAGAAAACCTTAAATGTTCTAAGATATACCACAAGGCATTAATTACCCACATGATTACCAAAACCCAAATACCATATCGGATTTACAGAGTCAAAGCCTCCCAAACTGTTTCTTAATTCACATATCCTTATAATAATCCTTGTATTTAGGGAGGTATTTATTCCCATTTTGAATATGGAAAAAGGCAACAAGTTGGACCTGTGGCTTTACAAAGGTTATCAAGTAGTACAGATAGTTTGTCTCGGTAATTTGCTCAGCTTTACAGAGGACTGTACAAGTTATTTCCATCACCACTCGAATGCTCATTTAACAAATATTTATTGAGCATCTAGCTTGTGCCAGTGTTGAATACTGAGCTCACAATGGTGGGAACAAAGACGGTTCCTAACCTCATAAAGCTTCTAGATTACTGTGAAAGACAGATGTTAGACATATAATTACCCTTCAGATCAGGATCACATGTGGCTCTGAGAGTATGTAACAACAGACTTGACCCTGTGGTATTGGGGAAGACTTTCCTAAGGAACTCATGTTTCAGCAAAATTCTAAAGGATGAAAGGAACTACTGACACAAAGAGGAGTACATGAAATGAATGGTGCAAGGAAGGGGTGCCGCTGTTGTGAAAGAACTGGGCACATTCGAGGATTTGAAACAGCAGCATAGGAAGAGCTTTTTAAAAAGGGGAAAGCAAATTGATGCAGGCACTGTGGAAAACAGTATGGAGGTTCCTTGAAAGTTAAAAATAGAATTACCATATGATCCAGTAATTCAACAACTGGGTATTTACCCAAAGAAAACAAAAACACTAATTCAAAAAGATATATGCACCCCTCTGTTTATTGCAGCATTATTTACAATAGCCAAAATGTGGAAGCAACCCAAGTGTCCAACCATAGATGAATGGGTAAAGAAGTTGTGGTATGTACATATACAATGGGATATTATTCAGCCATAAGAAAGAATGACATTTTGCCATTTGCACCAACATGGATGGACCCAGAGGGTATAATGTTAAGTGAAATAAGCCAATGAGAGAAAGACAAATACCGTATTATTTCACTCATACATAGAATTTAAGAAACAGTCCACAATAGCCAAACTGTGGAAAGAGCCAAGATGCCCATCGACAGATGAATGGATAAAGAAGATGTGGTATATATACACAATGGAATATTATGCAGCCATCAAAAGGAATGAGATCTTGCCATTTGCAACGACGTGGATGGAACTGGAGGGTGTTATGCTTAGTGAAATAAGTCAATCAGAGAAAGACATGTATCACATGACCTCACTGATATGAGGAATTCTTAATCTCAGGAAACAAACTGAGTGTTACTGGAGTGGTTGGGGGGTGGGAGGGATGGGGTGGCTGGGTGATAGACATTGGGGAGGGTATGTGCTATGGTGAGCGCTGTGAATTGTGCAAGACTGTTGAATCACAGATCTGTACTTCTGAAACAAATAACGCAACATATTTTAAGAAAAAAGAAAAAGAAGAAGATAACAGGAGAGGAAGAAAAGGGGAGTATGTCAGAGGGGGAGACGAACCATGAGAGATGATGGACTCTGAAAAACAAACTGAGGGTTCTAGAGGGGAGGAGGGTGGGGGGATGGGTTAGCCTGGTGATGGGTATTGAGGAGGGCACGTTCTGCATGGAGCACTGGGTGTTATGAACAAACAATGAATCATGGAACACTGCACCAAAAACTAATGATGTAATATATGGTGATTAACATAACAATAAAAAATTTAAAAAAAAAGAATTTAAGAAACAAAACAAATGAACACCAAAAGGAAGAAGAAAAAAAAAAAACAGACTTAAATACAGAGAACTGGTGGTTACCAGAAGGGAGGTGGATAGGGGGATGGGTGAAATCGTTGAAGGGGATTACAAAAAAAAGAAAAAACATTGGCAAAACTGTAATAAGATATAGATGGGGAAGATCAGCAGGATCTTGTTGATAGTTGTTAAGGACTGGGACTTACTTCAATGACTAAGAGTTTTAGACTCAACAATAAGAAAATGAACAATCTGACTTTTAAAATGAGCGAAAGAGGGGTGCCTGGGTGGCTCAGTCGTTAAGCATCTGCCTTCAGCTCAGGTCGTGATCCCAGGGTCCTGGGATCAAGCCCCACGTTGGGCAACCTGCTCTGCGGGAAGCCTGCTTCTCCCTCTCCCACTCCCCCTGCTTGTGTTCCCTCTCTCACTGTGTCTCTGTCAAATAAATAAAAACTTTAAAAAAATAAAATAAGGGGCGCCTGGGTGGCTCATTCGTTAAGCATCTGGCTTCGGCTCAGATCATGGTCCCAGGGTCCTGGGATCAAGCCCCGCATCGGGCTCCCTGCTCCGCAGGAAGCCTGCTTCTCCCTCTCCCACTCCCCCTACTTGTGTTCCTCTCTCGCTGTGACTCTCTCTGTCAAATAAATAAATAAAATCTTTAAAAATAAATAAAAAAATAAAATAAAATAATAAAAAATAAATAAAATGAGCAAAAGATCTGAACAGATATGTCACCAAAGAAGATAGATGGCAAATAAGCATATGAAAATATGTTCTGCATCATATGTCATCAGCAAATTAAAACAATGAGATACTACTACACACCTAGGAGGTGGCCAAAATCCAGAACACTGACAAATACCTAATGACAAGGATGTGAAGCAACAGAAACTCTCATTCATAGCTGGTGGAATGCAAAATCGTAGTCACTCTGGAAGGCAGTGTGGCAGTTTCTTACAAAACTAAACATACTCTGACCATACCATCCAGCACTCATGTTGCTGGGTATTTACCCAAATAAACTGAAAACTTATGTCTACACAAAAACCGGCACACAGATGTTTATAGCAGCTTTATTCATAATTACCAAAACATGGAAGCAACTAAGATATCCTTCAATAGTGAATATCAGCAACCAAGATATCCAGACAATGTAGTATTATTCAGCACTAAAAAAAAAATGAGCTCTCAAGCCATGAAAATACACGGAGGAAACTTAAATGCATATTACTAAGTAAATGAAAGAGCAAATCTGAAAAGGCTAAATACTGTATTATTCCCAACTATATGATATTCTAGAAAAGGCAAAACTATGGAGACAGTAAGAAAGATAAGTAGTTGTCAGGGATTAGGGGGAGGGAGAGATGAATAGGTGGAGCACAGATGATATTTAGAGGAGTGAATCTACTCTGTATGATACCATGATCATTAATACATATCATTATACATTTGTCCAAACCCAAAGAAGGTACAATGAGTGAACCCTCATGCAGACTATGGATTTGGGGTGATAATGATATGCCAATACAGGTTCATCAATTATAGCAAATGTACCATTCTAGTGTGGGATGTTGATAGAGGGGTAAGTTGGAGGTGGGACAGGAGGTATGTGGGACTCTGTACTTTCTGTTCAGTTTTGCTCTAAATCTAAAACTTGCTATAAAAAATATTTTCTTAAAAAGTTTTAGAGGGCAATTCATGATTAGATTTACATTCCTCAGAGATCACTCAGGCTGCAGTGACCTCTGTGAATGGAGATAAAGAAAAAAATGGGTGTAGAAGACAGTTAACTGCAGTTGTCAGGTGAGAGATGGTGCTAGTTGAGTCTAGGGTGGTGTGGGAGGAGAAAGAGAAAACATGTTGGCCCTAGGGAGAGAAATAAGATTCAAGTATATGTCCCTGGATAAATGAATGGACTGCTTACCCTTAGTTTCCTCATATATTAAGAGAGAGAAAAGAGGTATAGGGGTTGGCCAAGGGTCTTCATGATTTGGGTAGAACCTAACACTGAACCATATGTAAGAGAAACACGGAATTAACTGAGTACTTGGGACAATTATCTTTTCTTTTGTAATGGCAGCCCTGTATTAGACAAGAGCAAAATGAGACAGATTATGGTTGTTATGAGAGAACTTTTAAAAAAATTTTCTTTTTTTTTTTAAAGATTATTGATATGAGGAATTCTTAATCTCAGGAAACAAACTGAGGGTAGCTGGAGTGGTGGGGGGTGGGAGAGATGGGGTGGCTGAGTGACAGACACTGGGGAGGGAGGGTATGTGCTATGGTGAGCGCTGTGAATTGTTTAAGACTGATGAATCACAGACCTGTACCTCTGAAACAAATGGTACATTATATGTTAAAAAAAAAAAAAGAAGATAGTAGGAAGGGAAAAATGAAGGGGGGGAAATCAGAAGGGGAGACGAACCATGAGAGACTATGGATTCTGAGAAACAAACTGAGGGTTCTAGAGGGGAGCGGGGTGGGGGGATGGGTTAGCCTGGTGATGGGTATTAAAGAGGGCACGTACTGAATGGAGCACTGGGTGTTCTATACAAACAATGAATCATGGAACACTACATCAAAAACTAATGATGTAATGTATGGTGATTAACATAACATAATAAAATAAAAAAAATAAAAAATAAAAGATTTTATTTATTTATTTGACAGAGACACAGCCAGAAAGGGAACACAAGCAGGGGGAGTGGGAGAGGGAGAAGCAGGCTTCCCGCCAGCAGGGAGCCCAATGCTGGGCTCTGGGATCATGACCTGAGTGGAAGGCAGATGCTTAACAACTGAGCCACCCAGGCACCCTTAAAAAAAATTTTCTTGGGCATTCTTTAAATATAATGATCCACTACTTTAGTAATAATCCTAATTACAGTGATAGCAACCAATAAATATGATAATATAATCAAATATCTAAAATAGATATTTCTAGAAACCAATAAATAGTGTTATTTTGAGTTGGATTTTTCTTTTGTTTACATTTGCAACTTTGAGTCTTGGTAATCTCTATGTAACTTTAACAAAGTTTTATAAACTGGGTAGATATTACTCATTTATAATGTTCATAATATGTTATATACTCTAATGTTCATAATACACTGGCAATCCTATCATTTGCCCCTATCTCACTCCCGTTACTATTTTTCCTGAGTGAACAGAAATAAAATTTGAGAAAGATTTGAGACACAGAAACAGTATCACCTAAGGTCTTGGTTCCCTTATCCCATTCCTAATCCCCAGACAAGCTCTTCTAAAAATATTAAAAGCTTATAAAGGTGCATACCTGAAAAACTGCTTGATAATTAGAGCTAAAAGCTCACTGGTCAGCCATGTCTTGACAAAAAGCATGTTTGAATTTAATAAAAGTGTATTTGAAGAATTAATACACTATAATAAGATAATGTGTAAATCTAGAATATTTTGTTAGAGATGATTAACATGTACCTAATGAGAAAAAACTCATTAGTTGAGAAACAATATTTTCCATTACTAAAGAAAAATCTACTTTCTTGCTGTAAATGAGTTATTTGAGGACAATACATAACTATAATAAACATAAATCCATGCATTATTTTAATATCTTATGCTTCATAAAGAATTGAATATTAAATTATTATAATTTTTAAAAAGGTATTATGGCTAAAAAAAAACAACATAAGTAAATACCTGAAATACCTCCTGGCTATCCCATGATATACGTGCCTAATTCCAATGTTACTTTCTTTCTCAATATTTCAGCAAGGCTGTATGTAGTTCTAATAGGCCATTAACGTAAATGCTATTAAAGAATAATCAGGTCTGCTAAATGAGGTTATATCATTTACCAAGATGACAGATTCTGACTTTGAAGAAGATTGCTGACCCTTTATATGACCACTAAGGACTAATGTTTGACTTATAAATTCTAATTTCATCTTTTGCACACTGAGGAAAGAGATTAACAACTTTATCCACATCAAGATGCTTGTTTTGAAGAATTGATTCCATCTCTTTGAATAGTTCTTTCTCCAGTTTCCTCATGTTGTCCAACAGGGGTTTGGCTTTTTCCTAAACAATTAAAAAATAAAAATAAATAAACACATACACACACACGTACAAGTCTAACCAAATTCCAACTCACCTCTACAGACAAGATTTATTCATTCTTGTTTCCACTTCTAGTCTGGTTCCCCTCCTCTTATTCTTTAGACATAGAAGGAATGAAATTCTTTGGGAAAAATCATTGTTCTAGATTGAATTAACCCCAATTTATTAGGTATTTTTAGTAGAAAAGATAAGAATAACTGTGTAGGATTAGTCTATAAGCAAGAAACTTAGAAGACAGATAACAGGACCATTGAAATTATGATATTATATATGGGGAAGGTTGCTGAAAATTGAGGCTAAGTTTTTTTTAATAAATCTTTATTTTGAAAGCTTTATGATATAGCTACTACAAATAGTTGACTTAAACATCTTATTTTGATAGTATAGCTTTAAGCAGCATTTTTGTCATAAGTAATCAATTTTCGTGTCACCAATGTTCCTTATTCTTCGAGGCTAAGATACTTTTATGAAGTTGGATCTTCTATATTTAAAATCAGGATTATCAGATTCAACAAAGGAAAAAGAACAGCAGTATTCAAGGGAAAGAAACTAAAAGACATTTTCTCAATGATTCCTCCCTATGATTTCTCTCTGTTTCAAGAATGGGGCAAATGGTCATGACTTTTACAGAATGAAGCAATTTTTAAGTTATTGATGAATTACCACAACCAGTTACAGGGTAGGTACTGAAAGAAAAAGTGTGTAAGAAGAAAGTTATCAGAAAATGAGCTTGGGGGGTGCCTGGGTGGCTCAGTTGTTAAGTGTCTGCCTTCGGCTCATGTCATGATCCCAGGGTAGTGGGATTGAGCCCCACATCGGGCTCCCTGCTCGGCGGGAAGCCTGCGTCTCCCTCTCCCCCTCCCCCTGCTTGTGTTCCCTCTCTCGCTGTGTCTCTCTCTGTCAAATAAATAAAATCTTTAAAAAAAAAAAAAAAAAGGAAAGAAAGAAAGAAAGAAAGAAAACGAACTTGGAAGTTTTCCTTCCATTTCTATTTTTTGGAACAGTTTCAGAAGAATAGGTATTAATTCTTCTTTAAATGTTTGGTAGAATTCCCCTGGGAAGCCATCGGGCCCTGGGCTTTTGTTTGTTGGGAGATTTTTGATGACTGCTTCAATTTCCTTAGTGGTTATAGGTCTGTTCAGGTTTTCTATTTCTTCCTGGTTCAGTTTTGGTAGTTGATACATCTCTAGGAATGCATCCATTTCTTTCAGATTATCTAATTTGCTGGCATATAGTTGCTCATAATGTGTTCTTATAATTGTATTTCTTTGGTGTTGGTTGTGATCTCTCCTCTTTCATTCATGATTTTATTTATTTGGGTTATTTCTCTTTTCTTTTTGGTAAGTCTGGCCAGGGGTTTATCAATCTTATTAATTCTTTCAAAGAACCAGCTCCTAGTTTCGTTGATCTGTTCTACTGTTCTTTGGGTTTCTATTTCATTGATTTCTGCTCTGATCTTTATTACTTCTCTTCTCCTGCTGGGTTTAGGCTTTATTTGCTCTTCTTTCTCCAGCTCCTTTAGGTGTAGGGTTAGGTTGTGTATTTGAGAACCTTCTTGTTTCTTGAGAAAGGCTTGTATTGCTATATACTTTCCTCTTAGGACTGCCTTTGCTGCATCCCAAAGATTTTGAACAGCTGTGTTTTCATTTTCATTGGTTTCCATGAATTTTTTAAATTCTTCTTTAATTTCCTGGTTGACCCTTTCATTCTTTATTAGGATGCTCTTTAACCTCCAAGTATTTGAGTTCTTTCCGACTTTCCTCTTGTGATTGAGTTCTAGTTTCAAAGCATTGTGGTCCGAAGATATGCCGGGAATGATCCCAATCTTTTGGTACCGGTTGAGACCTGATTTGTGACCTCGGATGTGATCTATTCTGGAGAATGTTCCATGGGCACTAGAGAAGAATGTGTATTCTGTTGCTTTGGGATGGAAAGTTCTGAATATATCTATGAAGTCCATTTGGTCCAGTGTGTCATTTAAAGTCTTTATTTCCTTGTTGATCTTTTGCTTAGATGATCTGTCCATTTCAGTGTGGGGAGTGTTAAAGTCCCCCACTATTACTGTATTGTTGTTGATGTGTTTCTTTGCTTTTGTTATTAATTGGCTTATATAATTGGCTGCTCCCATGTTAGGGGCATAGATATTTACAATTGTTAGATCTTGTTGGATAGACCCTTTAAGTATGACATAGTGTCCTTCCTCATCTCTTATTATAGTCTTTGGTTTAAAATCTAATTTGTCTGATATAAGGATTGCCACCCCAGCTTTCTTTTGGTGTCCATTAGCATAGGAAATGGTTTCCACCCCCTCACTTTCAATCTGGGGGTGTCTTTGGGTATAAAATGAGTCTCTTGCAGACAGCATATCGATGGGTCTTGTTTTTTATCCAATCTGATACCCTGTGTCTTTTGATTGGGGCATTGAGCCCATTTACATTCAGGGTAACTATTGAAAGATATGAATTTGGTGCCATTGTATTGCCTGTAAGGTTACTGTTACTGTATATTGTCTGTGTTCCTTTCCGGTCTATGTTACTGTTAGGCTCTCTCTTTGCTTAGAGGACCCCTTCCAATATTTCTTGTAGGGCTGGTTTCATGCTTGCAAAGATACAAATGTAGGGATCCGAAGGGGTACGTGCACCCCAATGTTTATAGCAGCAATGTCCACAATAGCCAAACTGTGGAAGGAGCCCAGATGTCCATCGACAGATGAATGGATAAAGAAGATGTGGAGTGTATATATATATGTATATATATACATACACACACACACACACACACACACACACACACACACACACACAATGGAATATTATGCAGCCATCAAAAGGAATGAAATCTTGCCATTTGCAATGACATGGATGGAACTGGAGGATATTATGCTGAGTGAAATAAGTCAATCAGAGAAAGATATGTATCATATGATCTCACTGATATGAGGTATTCTTAATCTCAGGAAACAAACTGAAGGTTGCTGGAGTGATGGGGGGTGGGAGGGATGGGGTGGCTGGGTGATAGATATTGGGGAGGGTATGTGCTATGGTGAGTGCTGTGAATTGTGTAAGACTGTTGAATCACAGACCTGTACCTCTGAAACAAATAATAAATTATATGTTTAAAAAAAAAAAGAAGATAGCAGGAAGGGAAAAATGAAGGGGGGGAAATCAGAGGGGGAGACGAACCATGAGAGACTATGGACTCTAGAATTCTAGGGGGGAGGGGGTGTGGGGAGGGGTTAGCCTGGTGATGGGTATTAAAGAGGGCACATACTGAATGGAGCACTGGGTGTTATATGCAAACAATGAATCAGGGATCACTACATCAAAAACTAATGATGTAATGTATGGTGATTAACATAACATAATAAAATTTAAAAAAAAAGAAAATGAGCATAATTTTAAACATTTGAACCATTATGGCACAGAACTCCAAAAAACAAAGATTCTTAACCTTAATGTGCACTTTAAAATCAAATTGTATCTACTTTTTCTGAAGAAATGCTACTTTACATATCAGTGGGGAAAATGTATTTTGTCTACAAATGGTATTGGAATAATTTAGTCAGCTCTTGGAAAACAGAATCCCTATTTCATAACATACAGAAAAATAAATTTTAGACAAATTAAAGAACTAAATATTTTTTTCAAACACACATATACATACTGAAAAAAAATACAGAAGTTATCTTTTTATTTATTTATTTGACAGAGAGATACACAGCAAGAGAGGGAACACAAGCAGGGAGAGTGGGAGAGGGAGAAGCAGGCCTCCTGCGGAGCAGGGAGCCCAATGCGGGGCTCGATCCCAGGACCCTGGGACCATGACCTGAGCCGAAGGCAGACGCTTAATGACTGAGCCACCCAGGCGCCCCAGAAGTTATCTTTATTTTGAGGTGAGGTTGGCCTTTCAAGCATAAAATCAAGATGCCTTAATGGAAAAGACTAACAAATGTAATTGACTAAACTTAAAACTTTTCTGTCAGACAAAAAAGTTAAACAATAAGCTGATGAAAAATCTGCAACATAACAGACTCAAAATTCACATATTTTTGCCTCTTTGAGGCAAAAGACAAAAACAACCAACAAACAATTGAACAATAGGCTAAGGAAAAGAAGAGGCAAGTCATTTAAGAGGAAATACTAATGGCCAATAAACATATGAGAAGATTTTTAACCACATTAGTAATCAAGAAATGTAAATTAAGGGGCGCCTGGGTGGCTCAGCTGGTTAAGCAGTTAAGCAGCTGCCTTCGGGGGCGCCTGGGTGGCTCAGTTGTTAAGCGTCTGCCTTTGGCTCAGGTCATGATCCAGGGTCCTGGGATCAAGCCCCACATCGGGCTCCAGGCTCCTTGGGAAGGCTGCTTCTCCCTCTCCCACTCCCCCCTGCTTGTATTCCCTCTCTCGCTGTGTCTCTGTCAAATAAATAAATAAAATCTTTAAAAAAAAAACAAACAAACTGGCTGCCTTCGGCTCAAGTCATGATCTCAGGGTCCTGGGACGGATCCTCCCATTGGGCTCCCTGCTCAGCAGGGAGCCTGCTTCTCCCTCTCCCTCTGTCCCTCCCCACCGCTCATGCTTGTGTGCACGCTCTGTCAAATAAATAAAATCTTTAAAAAATGTAAATTAAAAGTAGCATTGACTCTCTCTAAGACATTAAAGTAGATTAGAACCAGAGAAAGACAAATACCATATGATTTCACTTGGATGTGGAATCTAAAAAACGAAACAAACAGCAAAAATAGACCCATAAATACATAGCAAACAGATTGATTGTTGCCAGAGGAGAGGGGGGTGAGGGGGTGAGCAAAATGGGTGAAGAGGATAGGGAGATACAGATGTCCAGTTATGAAATGAATAAGTCACGGCGGGTAAAAGGCACGTAAGGAATATAGTTAATGGTATTGTACTAGCATATGGTGACAGATGGCAGCTACACTTGGGGTGAGCATAGTATAATGTATAGACTTGTCCAATCACTATATTGTACACCTGAAACTAATGTTAACATCATGTGTCGACTATACTTAAATTTAAAAAAAAAAGTAGACTAGAACCCAGCTCTTTGACACTTCCCTCAAATTCTATTGTCTTTCCACTACTTTCTGTTGTCATTCAACATTTACTGCCTATTAACTAAAGCCTAAAACAGTAACAACAGGTTTTAAATTTTAATTTCAGTATTACTTAGAAAAATGTCAATCAGCAATTTAAACAAATATTTAATAATAAGTCTACAAAACCAACCTTCCAGAAGCAGTATTGAGGGGAAAAGGAAGCTGACAACTCTTGAGAACTATAGTAAGCAATTAGTGCAGTGTGGAGGCTGCTCAGGGAGGAATGAGGGAAAATCCCCCCAGAGCAGAGAGTCTTGAAACATATCACTGAGAAACTTGAGCATCAGGGCAAGAGGAACCAAAGGGCTCATCATTCTTCACAGAGCTGTGCTGAGTCTGGAGGGTAAGCCAAGCTCAGACAGTGTATGACACCATGGCCAGTGGATTGGGCTCTCATCAGCACACTTAATGGGCTCCTGGGACAAATTGCTTGCCTCTCACTCCAGGCCACCAGGCTACAAAAAGTGTTTACACTCGAAGTTTTTTTTAAGATTTATTTGAAGGAGGGGAGGGGCAGAGGGAGAGGAAGAGAGAGTCCTAAGCAGACTCCTCACTGAGCACGGGGCCCACACGTGGCCAATGCTGGGCTTCATGTCAGGCTCAATCTCATGACCCTGAGATCACGACCTGAGTTGAAACCAAGAATCAGATGCTGAACTGTGTCACCCAGGTGCCCCTACACTCAAAGTTTTAATAAATAAATAAATATAATATAAAAAATATATTATTTTAATAAAATAAATAAATATAATATAAAAAAATAAAGCAAGAATAGTGTCAAGAATTCACAGCAAATACCAGGTCTGGACAGAACTATCTGCTTTAAGTGTAAGCAAAGCAGGTGGGGGAATGGCAACCATGCAAACATACTACAGACAAAAGTCAATAAATAATTACCTGGAGGACAATTAATTTAATTCACTTTATGTAGAAAGAATGTAAATGTATATACCTTGATGAAGTAAAAGGAATTATAGGCAATAGAGTATAAACAGGTGAGAAAAGGTGTAAGATGGCCAATATTTTCCTTCATTGAAGGAAGTGAGTTGATGGTTCTGTAAAAAACCTTTAGGTAGCCCTTCCATTTCCTTCTAGTCTATTTTTTATCTCTGGGGCAGAGAGCGAAGAGGGCAAGAGAGCTGAAGAAGTATGGATATTATAAAATTGTCAATCTATGTGTGTATCTATCTGTCTCCCCCAAAATATATCTGCTTATTTCTAGAGATGAGATTTTGGATGACATGTTAATCTTCTATAATGCTTACATTTAAAAATCACAAGCATTTATCATTTTTGTTAAACTCCAACTCATTATTATTATTTTAAGTCTAAGGGGTGTTAAGCACTTTCCATTAAAATTAATCTAAGGCTATATGATTCAGAACGTTATGTAAGAGACTATGTTAACTGCCCTCCAGTAGCTTTGTCATTTTTGGTGTGAGATATAAACGATGTAAGCTGCTTAAACTCCCTAAGTCTCAGATTCTTTATCAGTAAAATGGACATAATAATAGTAGCTACTCATAAAAATGAACATAACAGTAGCTACTCATAAAGAATGTGAAGATTAAATAAAATATTCTGTGTAATGGTACCATGATGCTGTTGGATAGTAAGTGCTCAGTAAATATTAGGTACTGTTATTACATTTAATATATTAAATTTCCCTAAAAGATTCACAATGCATTTTTTTTTTTTTACTTTTACAAACTTTATTTTTCGTCAACCTTTCCCATTTCTATTTCCATTTTGTTTGCTTTGTGGAAGAGCAGCTTAAAACCGCTCAGTGGTTGTTCCTGCCCATTCAGTGGCCTGAGCAGTGGGAGCTGCAGACCAGTCTTCAGTGGCCGGCTGGGCGCTCCAGTCCTCAGTGGGGAACTGCTGAATAGGCACCGGGGGCACCTGCATGCCTCCAGACCAGTCTGCGACTTCAGGCTGAGTAGCAGTGAACTCAGGAGCTGGAGCCGTCCATTCACCCTGAAATTCCTCCTTGGTCACAGCCTGTTCAGCAGAGGCCTGCTCTTCCTTTTCCATCTCTTCAGGATCTCTGTAGAAGTAGAGATCAGGCACGACCTCCCAGGGTGTTAACGGGAAATGGTGCCACGCATGCGCAGAACTTCCCTGGCCAGCCTCCACCACATCAGACCCACCGAGTGAGCTCCCTTGTTGTTGCAAGGGATGGCGATCTCCACATAGTGCAGAGGAGAGTCGGCGTTAGAGCGATGGCAGGCAGGTTAACATAGGACGCCTCTGTAAGAGGCTGGTGGTCAGCCCTGGGCTCAGTAACCACCAGCAGTCTCGGCTCCCGGCAGGCTGCCTGGATCGGGTTAGTGAAGGTTCCAGGAGTGAAGCGGCCGGCAATAGGAGTGGCTCCGTAGCAGCAGCAAACTTCAGCACAGCTCGCTGGCCACTATCCCTGGACGATGGGACACTGACATCAGCTGAGTTTTCAATGGCAACAGTGGCACGAGCCACCAGCAGAAGCTTCTCCCAGGTCCTCTTCAGATTTATGATGTAGATACCATCACTTTTCCTTTTGTAGATGTACTGTTCTGTTTGAAAGTCAAGGTTGGTGCCCCCTAAATGGGTTCCTGCTGCAAGGAATTTGAGGACATCCTCCTCCTTCGTTTGCAGGACATCAAGGGCTCCAGACACTGTGAAAGTTTCCCTTTAAGTTATAACAACAGGAACGCAAAACAACGCTGTATGAACACTTCCCTAGGTAGCGCGGAAAGGCTCACAATGCATTCTTAACCATTATTTTTAACCTTCAATTACAGGTCTATAATCTAAACATCTAAACTATTTTTAAACCTATTTTTAGATGAAGGAAGGAAAGAAAGCTGAAATTCCGAAGTTCAAAATGTGGATTGAATCATACTTGAAATCATTCTTAATGATAAAACAGAATATAATTTAATCATACCTCCTTTTTATCTATTATTTTCAAAGCCTGTTGATGTTTTTGGTAGAGTGGGTGTCTTCTGTCAGGCTTAAACTGAAAACGTGGCTTCTTTTTAACTGGATCTTCAAGTGCAAATGTTGGTGAACTGGTATCCAATAGTGGTGGAATATTTGGTACAAATATGAAAGGCTTAAAAATGGATCTAGAAGAAAAAGTCTTCATTAAATTGGCTTGTGGGGATATAAAAATATTCAGCATTATTCTAAATCTTTTAAGATTTCCTCTAGTCTCTATTAATTTGTTACATACTAGTCGTTCCTGTCATACTACTTATACCCGTGTCTGTCTTTCCTGGTACACCGGGCTCTCCTTTGGGGCTGGGGAGCACACTTTATTCAGTATCCCCATGAACCTAACAAAGGGGCTGGCACAGAAACAGTGCCAAGTGAAATTACAGTTCATCATTTTCTACTGCAAACTCCACAGTTGAAGGGTAAGAACAAGCCTCAGTGTTACAGATTGAGGATTAGGATTTGGAATGAAAATCAGCAGCAGTATTAAGGTATTCATGAGTCTCATTCCATCTTCTTGAAAATATCTTTAATAACATGAAAGACCATAACACTAGGAGATAGTGACTATAAGATCATTTCTAAATGTAATGTACATTAAGTTCTATGAGACACTAATGACTAAAGATAGTCTGTACAAATCCTGCTTTAGATATAACTTCAACTACTGATAGCTTAAATTTTATATGCATGTATTTTATAGATATGAGTAGATAAGTAACCATCTAAATCCAGCTCAGCTACATCATTTAATCTTTTTACTGTTATTAATCATCTAATGTTGTAATATTGAATCTGCAAAAGAAAACCATATACTTTTCTTGACAATTTTAAATATATTTGGGGAAAGAGAGTAGGGATAACTGCATAGAAGAATCTATTAACATATTGTCCTATAAAAATGAGAATAGTTATGGCAGTTATGTACATATGGAAATGGCAAACTACAACCTGAACAGAAAATGCATCCAAAAATTATTGTCATATTTGTGTAAGAAAAATTTAGCCTGGCAAAATCACCAACAGACTAATGACTACCCCACTCCTTGACCCCTTGCTGGTTTACAATATTCTATGACTTTACCTCTCAGGATCAGGAGTCCCAGTAAAGAAATGAATGCAAGGAAGGCTGGAGTCTTGAGGTAAAATAGAAACCATGCTTGCAGTGGTCAGGAATTCTCCCTCCATATTAATGCCACTTGGTTTATCTCGGAGAATTTCCATCATTGTTTCAAAAGTTATATTTCCTAGGGAAATCATTTTAAAAATCATCAAATACATATGAATTTGTAGATTGATATACTGTTAATATGAACTGCTTTCTCTATTGATAATATATAACATGAGATAATGATCTAAGTATAAATTAGAGATTGACTCTAAACGAACCCTGTATCATAAATATTAGATTAGCTTCATTCCACTGTTGTAATGAAGATTTTTTTAGAAAATATAAAATACAAAGTCTCAAAACCATTTATCAGGTAAAATCATAACTTCTTAAGAAGGAATAAAAAATGCAAAATATGCTCAGTCTTGTTGCCCTTAACAAAAATTTTTAAGATGTATTTAGTTAGCAGTGAACTGACAATATCAGTAACTACTATCTGAGTCTATTCATTCTGGGAACAAACTATTAAGAGAATATTGTGCTTGGTTTCCAATATTATACAAGATGTTCTTTATAAAATAATATGCTACTTTTCCTATAATAATTTCTGTACCTGACTTTAATACCCTTATCTGAAAGTGTGAATTGTAACCAGAGTGGGAATGAAGGAGACAAAACACATTATTGGTTAATGGAATTTTTATGAACATAATTCTGCTGGACTACTTAAAAAACTTAAATGTCCATTGTGTGTGATGAAAGTAGATGGCATTATATTTTGTTTTCTGTTTTCATATGCGAAGTTTGATATTTTAAGGAGTTTTTTATTTTAGAAAAATAGAAAAAATCTATTTTATCTCTTTAGCAAACACAACATGACCATTGTTACAGAGAGCCTCAGAATTCCATATTTGCAAGGTATTTCCACCAAAAAATTTAAAAAGCCAATCATGCCTTCAGACAGCTCTGCTCTCCGCTATACATTTCCATAGTCAAAGATGTGGTTCCAGATCTAACTCCTAATGACAAGATGAATAATCTTATCCCTACACAATGCAGTCCTCCAAAAGTAGCCCAAATACCTTCTTCTAACATGTCATAATTCTCTTCCCAAAAATTTGACTCTCAGTTCCCCCTGAATCAAATTAAAACTCCTTCAAATGAAAACTTACCATTAAGCTTAATTGAAATAAGGTTTTCCTTTCCTATAAGCATTCCTGATCTTTTGTATATATTGGTCCTATCTCTGCCATTAGATTATAAATTCTCTAAAGACAAGAATGGGATTTTTCTCTATTTAGTTCTCAATCATTCAACACATACTTATTGAGCATCTACTAAATGCCACGCACTGTCTTAGGAAATGGAGAGACCAGAGAGATAGATATTGATGCACTTTGACACAGATATGTAGCTCTGTGAATGTAAAGAAGTGAAAGTCCCCTGGTCCAATTTCAGTTGGGATGACCACAGTTAACCATTCAAAAAAGGATCTTTCCTGAAGAGTTTCAGAATAGGTTTAAAAGCCTTCCTCTGAATAAATACAAGAAATTCTCATTATTGAAAGAAAATGGTACTAGAAAATAGCCATTTAAAGCAGCACATTTAAAATAAGAATCAAAATTTCATGGTAAATAGTGGAGGAAAAGGACTGATTAGGTCTTTAAAATGAAATAATAATATTACAAAAATAAATTTATATAAGCTTATAGTTAACAAAATTTAGGTTAGAATTTTAATATGCTAATTCTTAGAACAATGACCAAATCCAGTGCAATTTTTCCAACAAAAGTGGTAAGAGAATGTAACTTTAACTACTGCAACATGATCATAAAGATAATTTTTGAAAATTATTTATTGAGAAAGTGAGAGCATGAGTGGAGGGGCAGAGGGAGAGGGAGAAGCAGACTCCCCGCCAAGCAAAAAGCCTGACTCAGGACTTGATCCCAGGACCTTGAGACCATGACCTGAGCCGAAGGCAGTTAACCGACTGAACCACCCACTCGCCCAAAACATACTAATTTAAGTCTTTGTCTGATGAAGCTAGTTTGTGGATACCAGTGGGTCACTTTCTACCGTCTGCTTTCTCTTGGTTTTTCAGTCGCTTAGTCTTATTCCTTGGCATGTCTGATAATTTTTTATTGAATGTTGGACACTATGCACGAAAGTCTGTAGAAGTTCTTCATGATGTTTTCCTCAACAGAAGATTTAATTTTCTTCTGGAAAACAGACAGAATATAAGTAGATTACCTATTGATCCAGTTGAGACTGGTCTATTCCCTATGGTAGCTTTTCTGCGGTCTCAACTGAAAGTCTGGGATGTTTCCCAGGCCTCTTCCTGGTTGGCTATTAGATCTAAGTTTTGTCCCTAAGGCCTTGTGAGATTCCCAAATCTCTACTTAGCTTTTTAGGCTCTTAGCAACTACTTTTGTCTTGATTTCTCAGTATCTCATCCTACATTTGTGCTGCTTAGAAGTCAAAAATTGCTTTAAGGAGAAATTGTGACATAAAAGGTCAGGTACTTCTCAGAGTATAGCTAATCTTTTCTCAATCTCTTGGATCTAGGCCCTCATATCCTAACTGTTTTGGGTGTTCACCGATACCTTCAAACAGTTGTTTTTATTCCTCCAGCTTTCATAGTTATTCTGGGGGGGAGGTTAGTGTAATACTAGTTATTCCTTGATAACCAGAAGCAGAAGTCCAGCTCAGTGCTTTTAACCACTCCACTACTGAGCCTCCCATCAGTCCTTTTTTACCCTCAAGTAGTATCAATTTTTCAATAATAGTAACGAACATGATAGACCCATATTATAAAAAGTTGAGCTAAAAAAAAACTCCCATAAAACATATAGTTCCTGCCATCAGATATTTTCACATACTTTATATTGGAAATATTTAACTATTGCATTAAAATTCATTCTAAAGAAACAAATAACTTTCATTTAACACAGTTCGTTGACCACAGGTATTTGTCTCCTCTCTCCTAATACCCTACTACAATGACAGTAAAGGAATAAAAAATGAAATAACTCACAAAGACAAAGAGAGCATGAAAAGCAAGAATTTCCTCCCTCCATTCCCATGATATAAAGGAATAATTAAAAGAAAAACGCTTACAGCAAGTCTGTACTCAAAATGTGATTCTGTGACATTTAAAATTAAAATAAAATTGATTTCCATATAAAATAATCTAATGTTACACCCTCAGTCAATCATATACGTTACTATTTCATGTTAATAGCAAATTTTCCATTTCTCCTTAGGATAGCTATGACTTCAAATTCAAGAAAAATAATTTATAGATAACTTGTTATAAGAACAAATCTTTCATTAATTTTGAGAAAATGCAGGAAGAAAAAAAGAGGGTGTATCTGAAAACAGCCCTTAACATTAAAACTAAACAATAAAGCAAAAGCCTACCATCCACACCTATCAGACACATAGCTTCTGCACCTAGTGAGATTTTAAAATGATTCAAATCTAAATTCCTATAAATGGCAAGTTTTAATGAAAACAGTGTCAGAACCATAACACTGCGATAATACAGGTATTATGAAAATGTTTTCTGTATTCAAAACCTACAATTCTCAAAATGAAGGGAGGATTTACATGATCACTTGAGTAGGATAGCTATAAGTAATCCACTAGCAAGCATTGAATAAGTACTGAGACTGCAGTAGCAGGGTTCAGTAAAATGAATGCAAAACACAGGGTGCAATTTCACTGCAATTTAAACTAGTTATTTAAAATACATGAGTGAATATAGATACAATTTGGATATACATGCAGCACAGTTAATAGCTATCAGGTAGCTGGAAAGAAGAAGGGTAGGCTCTTCCATCTAGAAAAATCATGGGAAAAATTAACTATAATGTACTACTAGACAATTTTCTATGAAAGTATTGGAAAGACATTTATTCTTCTGGCAAGCACAGAAGGCTGGATGAACTGTACATTATACTTGGGGAGAAAAAGAAGTTTCAGGTCAGATGCAACTCTTGCTATAATCATGCATTCATTTTAAATCTATATATAATCCAGCTATTTTGTAGTTAAAAATAACAGAATTAATTACTATGATGCAGTGGCTAATTAATTTATAGTTACCTCTATTTTTTTCTTTCTTTTGTCCAATTACCCGGTTAAACCCTAGGATTCTTGACATTTTCCTCTCCACTTTAATTATGTATTGTTTTTCTTCATTTTTTTAGGAATACTTCCTAATTTATGTCCTGAGCCTCTAAGTTATTGCCAGAAAAAGTACACAAGAGTGATTTTTGTTAAATTATCTGTAAGTTACAATTTAATTTAATTCAACTAACAATCCTTTGTTAACTTAATCAAAAAATACATATTAAACACATACAACATACTAGTGCAAGACACTGAACTAGGTGCTGAGAGAAATATAAGCTCAAATAAGAGAGTCCATTTTTTTCAGTTTCATAGAGGAGATAAATGAAGAGTACAGTTTCCTCATTTGTGAAATGAAGATAATACCTACTTCACATAGTTCCTTACAGAAGATAATGCAATCACTTAGCACAGTGTCCAGCCCGATAGCTTTTAACAAATGGGAATAGGTACTGCTGCAACTGCTACTCAGTCTCTACTTTTACAGCAATAATAAGTCTAAAATTCCTTAGAATAACACATTTTAGCATTTTCTACATACCCATCTACATGGAAAATAAGACAGTTTAAATAACCTATTTATAAAATGCCTAACATTAAGAAACCTTATTAAAAAAACCTTTCACATGAGGGGCGCCTGGGTGGCTCAGTTGTTAAGGTCTGCCTTCAGCTCAGGTCATGGTCCCAGGGTCCTGGGATCGGACCCTGCATCGGACTCCCTGCTCAGCGGGAAGCCTGCTTCTCCCTCACCCCCTCCCCCTGCTTGTGTTCCCTCTCTCGCTATCTCTCTCTCTGTGTCAAAAAATAAAATCTTTAAAAACATTGTCACAAAATGTTTTCTGTCATACCAAATAACTAACAGATTACTAATGTGTTTAATGAATACCTAAGAAGCAAATATCAATCACTGATCTATCTCTAAGTAGTTGCTTTCTGATTGGTTTACAGAACCATTTTATCCTTCAAGTGAAGGAGAATATATTAGTCACATATTTTGAAGTA